CTGCCAGGCATACATCCTGGTTTCTGCATGACAGGTGGGGTCCTCAGCAGAGGTCAAAGCTTTAATCAGGGGCAGTCTCTTTCTGAAGAGCTGCCCAGCACCTGGATCAGACCTGGGCACTTCCCAAGTTACCTCATCAACACCTTCAGAAGCCAACTCAGAGGGTGTGGCCTCCCTTCAGATGGCTTCCTTCACCCAGAGGTACTGATTCTCATGGGTTTCACTCCCAATAGGCGGATTTATTGTTAAATTCTACTCTAACCGATACTGCCCATACATGGGAAAGGGAAGCAGCAGTGCCAAGAGTCTACTGCGTGCCAGCACTGCTGAGTCCAGGTACTTACACTTAATCCCCATGACGTCTTGTTGGGAGGCATCTTCATTCCCATTTGATGACTGTGTCACACAAAGCAATGTGTGCTTTCTAATACCCCCAGTGTGGCAACATCTGCCAAACTAACAACCAGAACGTGACGGTATGACCTGTTCTTCTGGAGGGCTGCAGCCCTGGCAAATTTTCTTTCAGGGGAAGCTCAGCTATGAGCCCGAAGAGACAATTATCAATTAAGCCTGTCTGCAGTGCATTAGAGGCAGCAATGAGGACTCTGTCCTCCAAGATGTAACACCTCAATTATGCCTGTTGCTGGTAATTACCACTTATCAGCTGAACTGAGCAATTCCAGAATACCTAGCGTAGAAATAATAATTATATAGCCCAGGCCACGTGGCTCAGTGATTGAGCTTCAACATATGAACCAGAGGTCAAGGTTTGATTCCTGGTCAGGGCATATGCCCAGGTTGCAGGCTTGATCCCTAGTGTGGGTTCTGCAGGAGACAGCTGATCAATGGTTCTCTCACTCATTGATGTTTCTATCTCTCTTGCCCTTTCCTTTCCTTTCTTAAATCAATAAAAATATTTTTTACAAATAACATATTTGAATGGGTAAAATTTCTTTTAGAAAGACAAAGAATTCCAGACCAGCCCATGTGTCTCAGTGGTTGAGTGTCAACCCAGGAACCAAGAGGTCACATTTAGATTCCTGGTCAGGGCACATGCCTGGGTTTTGGGCTGGATCCCCAAATTTGGGTGTGCAGGAGCCTGGGTTTTCTGGATCCCCAAATTTGGGTGTGCAGGAGGCAGCTGATCAATGATGTTCCTCTCTCATTGATATTTCTAACTCTCTATTATTACCCCATCCTCTCTTTCTAAAAATCAACAAAAACATTTTTAAAAAGAGAAAGGCAAAGACTTCCATATTAAGTTAAAAACAAAATTAATGTATTACATTTTCAAGAATAATGTCTTGGAATATAAAAGATAAAGGTAGATTACACATAATGGATGATCAAAACTATATGAAGCAAATATAAACAGAAAAAGGATCTAGAGTATTAATATTGGACAAAGTAAAATTCAGGGTATCAAAAAATCTCATGATGGTAGTAAAGAAGATAATTTTATTTTTATAAAGATATAGTCTAGAAGCATGAAGTTAAAATACATAAAGCAGAAATTAGATATATATGTGTAGAAATAGATTAAAATAATGGTGGTGGAGAAATTTTATATACAACTATAAATTTAAGATAGACCAGACCTACTTTGGGAGGAAAAACCAAGATGGAGGCATAGGTAAACACCGGAGATTGCTGCTTAGCGCAACCACTTCAAGAATACAACTAAAAGACGGAACGGACATCATCCAGAACTACAGCAAGGCTGGCTGAGTGGAAATTCTACAACTAGAAGGAAAGAGAAAAGCATCCCGAGACTTAGAAGAGGTGCAGTGCAGAAATAAAGTACTGAGGTACGGAGGCGCATGCGGAGAGGGCTGGCGGCTGAGGACACGGTTGTCTTTTTCAATCGGTAGGGAGTCTCAAGCTCTGAGCTCCAGTTCCGGGCGAGTCTCTGGGGACCCAGACTCATACGAGAGAAACTGGACTGTCTGGAATTGGTCGGAACTCGAGGGCAGCTTTCTCTCGGACGTGCTTGCAGCGATTGCTGGGACACTGAGAAGCGGGGCCTCTGAGGGCAGCCATAGCTGCTTGCTCCACCCTGTTGATCCCCTGGGACCCCCGCCCCGCCCAAGCTGTGCGCCTGCTTTTGCATATGAAAGGCTTGGCCCTTTGCAATCTGAAAATTACCTAACAAACTGCAGCTGGCCCAAGGCCCCAGGGCAACTTG